TCATCGAGACAACCAATCATTGACATTCTCGCCCACACATCAGCTTGACATAGGTAAATCCACTGGACCCGATGAACTGCATCCTAGGTTATTAAAGGAATTAGATAACTTTGTTGCGAACCCTTTAAGTGTATGTTTTAATCTATCCGTAACCCAGGGTCGTCTACCAAAAGACTGGAAGAACGCCATAGTAAGTCCAGTCTTCAAAACAGGTACAAAACATAAGCCTGAGAATTACCGACCAATTAGCCTAACTAGTGTGGTTGTCAAAATCTTAGAAAAGATTATTCGGAAGGAACTGTTAAAGTATCTCGATGAAAACCGGATCCTCTCCGAAAAGCAGCATGGTTTTAGAACAGGTTACTCTTGTCTCACAAACTTATTAGTCGCTCGTGAAAGCTGGTGCGCTCTTAAGGACAAAAATTACCTATAGACGTAGCTTACATCGATTTCAGCAAAGCTTTCGACAAAGTTCCGCATAACCGGCTGTTATATAAGCTAAGGAATGTCGGGATTGGAGGCAATCTATTGATGTGGATAAAAGACTTCCTAGTTGGGCGTCAACAAAGAGTAAGGGTGAACTCCAAGTTGTCTAGCTGGGAAACTGTGCTTAGTGGAGTCCCCCAGGGTACAGTTTTGGGGCCAGTGTTATTCCTCCTGTACGTAAATGATCTCCCTCGTCTACTATCATCGTCGGTCTTACTCTATGCTGATGATGTCAAGATATGGAGAGCGATACAAAGCAAGGGCGATAGCTTAGAACTTCAAAATGATCTGGAGAGATTATCTGAATGGTCCCAAACCTGGCAATTGCCGATAAACACTTCCAAGTGTATTGTGATGCATATTGGCCACCAGGGTACAGATACATACACGATGAATAACACTGAGTTACCTATTGTTCAGGCATACAACGACTTAGGCGTCATCGTCAGTCAAGACTTAAAGACTACTGCACACTGCCGTGCAATAGCCGCCAAAGGTTTTAGGACTTTATGGTCCATACGCAGGGCTTTTAGGCATCTCGACGCTAAAACGTCTCTGACTTTGTATAGTGTTCGTACGCCCTAAACTTGAGTACCGCATGCAAGCAGCTAGCCCCTGCCTAAAAAAAGACAGCGAACTCTTGGAAAGGGTTCAGAGAACAGCAACTAGGCTGATTCCCGGAATAGCGAAGCTCCCGTATGGTACTAGACTGACCAAGCTAAACCTATTCCCGCTGTCATATAGAAGAATCAGAGGCGACTTGATTATAGTTTTCAAATTGCTTAATGACAAATTTGCACCTGATATGCCCTCATTTTTCTTGTCTTCCAAAACAGAAAATCTACGAGGACACTCCAAAAAAGTTCACAAGCCCAGAACGAAATACTTGTCAGCTGACTACCGACTTTCCCATCGAATAATCAACGAGTGGAATTCATTACCTCAGCACGTGGTTGAGGCTCCATCCGTCGACTCCTTCAAAAGAAAGTTGGATCAGCTGAGAGACCATCATTGCCAGGACTAACAAAGGCCATCAAGCCTCCTGTCTATTCCAAACTGAAACTGATTACTTTAAACACTTGCAATTTGACTTTCTTCCGTTTTGAGTACAACATATCGCGACATTGATACTGCTCCTCAATAAATACAATCTAATTCACATCTGCATCGTTCTGCCATGTCTGCTAATATGTGAAATGAAATATTCTTTGCATACCATCTATATTTATAGACGATTGTGACATTCTTATTGAATTCTACGCTTGGTAAACCTACTGGATCAATATCGTCCATTTTGGGATTACTAATTTTTAATTGTGGAATATCTGGACGAAATTCAGCCGAACACGCAATAGCCTGAAGAATTAGGTAACGTCCCTCACTTTTATTTGTGTGTAATTAACTTATTAACTGTTTCTTGTTACATAATTGTTTAACGTAATATTTTTGTTGCTAATTTTTGGTTATCATACGTTTTGGTCCACCACAATTATTTGATGAGCCCTAGTATTTTATTATCTAACATTTATCAGATTGTTATATTGTTTATTCGCTCATTGTATGACCCTCTAGCTGATTTTCAACTTAATGTACTCTCCACCTAGGTTTAGTGATATTGATCCGGTTCCAGTAACCACTCTAAGTTAATCATCTAACTTTACTGACAGTATTTTTAGTCCAGTCAATGTCATTTCTGAATTTAGGCTTCCACCATATGGAGCAAACTGAAACTATGTGGTCGAGGCTGAAAGAATTTTCGGGACTTTATCATGGTTCCAGAGGTCGACTAATATGGAGCCACAGGGATGAGTTCCTATGCCGGATGCACTATGATTTTAGAACTTCTGAACCTATATCTGACCTTGATAAGTTTTTGATTCATGTAAAAGAACAGTATCCCCTTTAATTTTTGAGTTTTGCATAATATATTTTTACTGTATGATAACTGTCTTCTGATTGGCTAATATTTCTCAAGGTCGTTTAAGATTCATTCAAAGGTCGTCCATGTTCTTTAGTCTCGCCGGTACGCTTATGTAGTGAGCTCACTCCCGATCGAAATTGCAGCCGAAGTTGGAGACCTTATCGACCAAGTTCCGGAAACCGAGCCATATGATAAACTAAAAGCGGCTTTAATTCAGCGAACAACAGTCTCAGATGAGGCAAGATTGCAAAAACTTTTGAATGCATGTGATCTGGGAGACAAAAGACCTTCGCAGCTACTCCGACACATGAAACAACTTACGGGCCCTTATAAACTAGACGAACCCCTCCTCAAACAAATGTGGTTCAACCGATTACCACGCAGCGTCAGACAAATCCTAAGTGCCTTGGGGAAGTCTTCCCCATTCGATGATTTAGCTGATATGGCGGATTCGGTAATAGAAGTTTGCCACGATAACCACTATACAAATACGATGCAGTCGTATGGAGCAGCTGATGTCGGCTACTTAAACTCTATTCAAAGACAATTATCCCAATTAACGAATCAACTTGAGGCACTACAGACCACTGTAGCAACGGTGCAAGCCAGACAAATAAGACCCCCATTCAGACAGAGATCACGTTCTAGACCAATATCTCGTTCACCTAAACGAACATCCGAAATTTGTTAGTATCATACTAAATTCGGCAAAAAAGCACGGCGTTGTACACTCCCGTGTGCATTCCCCTCACCCAGCACTGATAACCAGGGAAACGGCCCGGCCAGGCAGTAATGGCGGCGCGGTACTTTAAAGTATCAATGAGCATTCCACAAGGCTTTCCAATCCACGCTGTCAAGCGCTTCCTCATTATCAAGGAAACTGATATATAGTGACTAGTCCCATCCAACCGATTGTTCAATAGTGTCTCTAATTTGTTGGCACATGATTGATCTTTACGCAACCCATCTTATTGATCTCAAGGTTAGGAGTTCGGTCTAGTAACACTCGCCTGAGAACTTTGCACTGGTAGTGATACTAGTATGCTGCCCCTTTAGTTCACACACTTACTAAGACCTCATTTCCTCGGTATTTTACGAGATTTCCCTTCTGCCAGTCCTCTGTTTTTTGTTCTTTCTTAAAATTCATTATGAAGAGGACACAGAGTACATTTGCAGTTGCCTCTATCTGATGATAGCGCTTCAGTTAGTATGTCATCTAGTTGTGCTCTTTTACCGACTTTAATTTGGCTGTTATTGTTAAATTCCCCTATGCTTTGTGCTTTATCAATAATAGGAAGGTTGGTGCTTTATGCTTCGATATCCGAAGGGTTGAGAAACCTACTGATCTATTTAAGAGATATTAAAAGTGCTCTATCCAGCTGTTACACTGTCCTTGAACATCGGTGATCAGTCTTACTTCTTTGCTCTCGACTGGTCGCTCTGATCTACTACATTTTCTTGCAAGCTTTTTGATTTTATCATATAGTACTCTCATATTTTCTTCTCTTTCAGCTTTCAATAATTTAGTTGACAGGTCTTCAACATGTTCCCACCTGTCCGCTCTCATTCCCTTTATCACTTGCTTGTTTGTTCTTGTATATTTAGTCAATGCCTCAGCTTTCTCTGTATTATTCCTACTGTTGTCGAATGTAGTCTTCTTGGACGGTGATCAACAACTGGTTCACACGCCATTCGTTCCTTCACGATGCCGGAGCCCATGTGCACCATTGGTTTGGAACCAGGGTTTGCCAACTCCCCTAGGTAAACCTTCCGTGTCCACCAACCCGGTTAAAGCGCCGGACATTCGCTTTTCGTCCTCTCACTTTCGTAAACAACACCCCCGCCACGAGAAGGCAGTGAGTAGGACTTCCCTGACAGAGGCTATATTACGCATGGCCATGTGAGAGTATTTCAAGAGGGAGAGAAACTACTTCATAATTACCAAACTACTGAATTCATAAAGAATTGATAGTCAAACCCATTACTAATCAAACGACCATATGTTAACAAACTTGACACTTAGAGAAACAAGTGAATGAAACTACATTTCAGACGCTGTGAAGTACATGAAAGAAAAAAACCCACCACATCAGCCATTCATTGCTCAACGGTAAAAATTGGCGACAAAAGCGAACCCCGCTTCAAGTAACCTATGTTTTGCTAAGCAATAGAAATCATATACAGCCTGAGATCACAAAAGGCTATTATTTAGCGAAAATACAACTCTGCAAACATCATTTTAACAGACCCAAAACTATAGCGGGAAGTGGTTCAATTATTTAAGTTCATTGATCCATAAGTAGAACTATTGAATCCATGTAGTAAAATGAGTTAAAATACGTAAACTTTAACCCCATCACCTAACAACCTAAATTTGTTTCCCGTTAACTTAATCAATATTCGATTCGGTCATCAGTTAGACAGAAAAGTTTAAGGAAGCACCAGCTTTAGTCTAATCAATCAAACAGACAGACCAAAGATTAAATATTTAACAACTAACGCTTAACTGTATTTCTTTCTCAGATAGGCTACCTTGTTTCCTGTTAAGACCTGTTGACAGTATTAGGAAGCAATAACTTATGATAATGCATTAACTTCTCAGATTTTTGAACTTGTCCTATAAGTGAGGCAGCATCCTTTCAGACATATGCCTTGTCAATATCTGTACAAATAAAAAAACATTTCAAATATTTTTATAGCAATTTACTTTCAATTTGAAATAAAACTTATGCAGTTACGAATTATTTACAAGATGAGAGTTTTATGAATATTTACATTACAATTAGATAGTTTGTGATTAATTATTCGACAAGTTGAGGAACAAACAGTTCAATTATTAGCATGAGAAATTTTAGGTGTGACATTTTTACTAGTAACTAAGTAACTACACTCCCAAAGACGTTATCAGCAAATCAGAAAGTGAATAATAATCGACTGGAAATTCTCTAAGGTTAACGTAACGTTAACCTACTGTTACATATTGAATATACAAACAATAACAAAGAAAAGAGCAAGAAGATAGTCTATCTGTCGCAAACAGTCTGCAAACCAAGCTTATTCCAACTAGATAAGGAAAAGGAATTATCACCGTACCCATGAACACTTATGAGATCACCAGTATGACTCTTTGGATAACGAACTACATAAACGCCATCCAAATGTACAGGACTAATACCCAGTTTATATAATACAAGGCCAATTACAACATCTTCAAAAGGAAGCAATTTGATATACCTCAGACCAACAGAAAGAAGCTGGGCGACAGGCATGCTGAGAATAATAGTTCCGCCAGAAGGGAAGGCTGGATATAAACTGTATGGATAGTCTGAATAGGAAATATACCATTTACTGAATGGGAACCTCGTTGGTTTGCAGAGACGCAACACATTACCAGCTATATAGTTCAAATACTGAGTTTCAGTAACTTTGGCAAGTGTCCGGAGTAAATTAGATGGGTGCAACATGAAATCATCATCAATCAAAGTGAGAAATCGAGAAGTAGAACATTCATTAATAGCAAAGTCTAATGTCGCTATCAGTTTATACGTAACATTATGATAGTCTTCAATAAAATCAAACTGAACTATGTCGTTATACTTCATATGTTCTTGTAACACCATAGTATACATTATAACACTCAGAACTTATTGCTGAGAGTTTGCTAGCATTTAGATGGAAGGCTGTGTCGAACTTTTTGTGCCACTCATCCAGTTCTCCAATGTTACTTTGACTTCAGTTTCAGTTTGTTCGTCATCAGATTAGGATATGAAGCCCTATCGTCTATTCTCTTTGTTTCTTCACTTTCGATAAACCTTTCAAGTCTTTTATGAAGATGGATAGGGTTAATTTTCCATGGTATGGTTTGGAGAAACTCTTGTAGCTCCTCGTACGCATTTCAAGGGGATTGATTTCGCTAAAAATCACACTGTCGGGAGTACATAGATTAGCCAGTCTCTCACCATTCTCATTCTTTTCGTCCATTTCATGTTATCAATGATCCATTTGTAAGACGTACTACTTATCCCAATTTTGTCGTTCAGGTCCCCTATCAAAATGGTCAAGTGTTTTTCAGTACATGGACTGCTGTCAATGATAAAACTGACTCTTATCATCTTCAATGACATCAGTGGTCAGTGCAAAGCGCCAAATAATATTCACTCCTTATTTGTACTCAAGGATGTATTTACCACCCTGGAATTATGAGTTTCCTATCCCATAAGCACTTTTTCGCACTTCGTTGAACAGCATCAGTAATAACCCTTGTCTATGCGTCAAATATTTCTTTTCTCACGACTAGAGTACAACAACAGCTCCCCTAAGGTGAACACTTTTGTCCAGATTGTGTCAAATGCGTTTCATTTATTCCAAGCACTCTTAGACTGTATCTTCTCAATTTCGCCGCTATTTAAGCGGTCGTAAAGGTATTCCACGTTTTTCGAACATTCAGTGTAACTGTATTAATTGTTGCTCTGGTTACGAGAAAGCGTATCGGTTCTATGACTTCCAAAAAATTTCGGCTTTTATTATGAAACATCATGTCCTCTACACGAATACCCTTTAACACTTAAAGTAAAGTTTTAGCGATTTAAATGATTTTTTGACTGGTATGTTTTCTTGAGAAAGGCTTTTTTATATGAGACAGAATTGTTAACCTTACAACCAGATGTCTTCCGCGGGCTTGGAACTGATGGTAACTTTAGAGCGGCTCCAGACCCAGTTTTAATCCCGTCCTATTAGTATTCGATTATCAAAGACTATGTTCATTTAAGAGAGGACATGATTTCAATTATTTTCAATATAAAGAGCTACCATCTGTTACGTGTTTACAACCACAACAATAACGTGCAGTACCCTTTTCACAGTCGTTGAGTGAGAACAGTTATTACAAGACAGTATTTTGATAACGTTGAGATTTTATATGTTGTTACCCATTTGTTGCTTATGAATAACGTTCCTTGTGAACCTATCACAAATCACCATAGCTGTCAATGACATCATATATGTAAATAAGGAAATTTGGATATGTTTATTGAAAATACTTCATTGTTTTATTTATTTATTTATGCACATAAATATTGGTACAAGGAAGCACCAGATACATATGGGCCACACAAATCAAATGACATTTGTGTGAGGGCTGTGATACTGCTAAGGTGCAAAAAATGAAGCAAGTGGTTTTCTTATGAGGCCACAACCGGAGCCTTCGACCTAAAGGTCTGATCCACAAGGCAGTGCAGCATCGTGAGGAGATGCATTCCCATGGTGGACGGTGACCAACAATTGGTTCATACGCCATTCGTTCTTTCACGATGCTGGAGCCCATGTGCACCATTGGTTTGGAACCAGGGTTTGCCAACTCCCCTAGGTAAACCTTCCGTGTCCACCAACCCGGTTAAAGCGCCGGACATTCGCTTTTCGTCCTCTCACTTTCGTAAACAACACCCCCGCCACGAGAAGGCAGTGAGTAGGACTTCCCTGACAGAGGCTATATTACGCATGGCCATGTGAGAGTATTTCAAGAGGGAGAGAAACTACTTCATAATTACCAAACTACTGAATTCATAAAGAATTGATAGTCAAACCCATTACTAATCAAACGACCATATGTTAACAAACTTGACACTTAGAGAAACAAGTGAATGAAACTACATTTCAGACGCTGTGAAGTACATGAAAGAAAAAAACCCACCACATCAGCCATTCATTGCTCAACGGTAAAAATTGGCGACAAAAGCGAACCCCGCTTCAAGTAACCTATGTTTTGCTAAGCAATAGAAATCATATACAGCCTGAGATCACAAAAGGCTATTATTTAGCGAAAATACAACTCTGCAAACATCATTTTAACAGACCCAAAACTATAGCGGGAAGTGGTTCAATTATTTAAGTTCATTGATCCATAAGTAGAACTATTGAATCCATGTAGTAACATGAGTTAAAATACGTAAACTTTAACCCCATCACCTAACAACCTAAATTTGTTTCCCGTTAACTTAATCAATATTCGATTCGGTCATCAGTTAGACAGAAAAGTTTAAGGAAGCACCAGCTTTAGTCTAATCAATCAAACAGACAGACCAAAGATTAAATATTTAACAACTAACGCTTAACTGTATTTCTTTCTCAGATAGGCTACCTTGTTTCCTGTTAAGACCTGTTGACAGTATTAGGAAGCAATAACTTATGATAATGCATTAACTTCTCAGATTTTTGAACTTGTCCTATAAGTGAGGCAGCATCCTTTCAGACATATGCCTTGTCAATATCTGTACAAATAAAAAAACATTTCAAATATTTTTATAGCAATTTACTTTCAATTTGAAATAAAACTTATGCAGTTACGAATTATTTACAAGATGAGAGTTTTATGAATATTTACATTACAATTAGATAGTTTGTGATTAATTATTCGACAAGTTGAGGAACAAACAGTTCAATTATTAGCATGAGAAATTTTAGGTGTGACATTTTTACTAGTAACTAAGTAACTACACTCCCAAAGACGTTATCAGCAAATCAGAAAGTGAATAATAATCGACTGGAAATTCTCTAAGGTTAACGTAACGTTAACCTACTGTTACATATTGAATATACAAACAATAACAAAGAAAAGAGCAAGAAGATAGTCTATCTGTCGCAAACAGTCTGCAAACCAAGCTTATTCCAACTAGATAAGGAAAAGGAATTATCACCGTACCCATGAACACTTATGAGATCACCAGTATGACTCTTTGGATAACGAACTACATAAACGCCATCCAAATGTACAGGACTAATACCCAGTTTATATAATACAAGGCCAATTACAACATCTTCAAAAGGAAGCAATTTGATATACCTCAGACCAACAGAAAGAAGCTGGGCGACAGGCATGCTGAGAATAATAGTTCCGCCAGAAGGGAAGGCTGGATATAAACTGTATGGATAGTCTGAATAGGAAATATACCATTTACTGAATGGGAACCTCGTTGGTTTGCAGAGACGCAACACATTACCAGCTATATAGTTCAAATACTGAGTTTCAGTAACTTTGGCAAGTGTCCGGAGTAAATTAGATGGGTGCAACATGAAATCATCATCAATCAAAGTGAGAAATCGAGAAGTAGAACATTCATTAATAGCAAAGTCTAATGTCGCTATCAGTTTATACGTAACATTATGATAGTCTTCAATAAAATCAAACTGAACTATGTCGTTATACTTCATATGTTCTTGTAACACCATACTTTGAGTACTGGAATGTTTCCAATCGGTGGAACCCGATCTACCAAGAATGAAAAGAATTCGAGTACGCACTCCAAAATAACGGAAACAGTTTGAATTACCCCAAGACTGGCGTATATTATTACGTAATTCAAGATGTAACAACGCTGATTTGACAAAAATAACTAGATCTGGTGACGCATCAGATTGATTGGACAATTTACAAGAGTTTATTGGTTGGAGAACAGCGTTAAATTTAACGGGATTTATAGGTTTAATTGATGGCTTGTTATTTAACGATTTGAATTCATTTTCATATATCATGTACAAATCCACATCAAGCGAATGTTCAAAAGAGTTTAAACTTAGGCCTTGATTATTATAAACTAAATATGAAGTTGCCATAACAAAAATTACAGATAACGTAAAGAAAAACATAAAATGCAAAGTTCTTTTTCTTGAAAAATGTCGTCTATACACTTTTTTGTTAAAATAATTACTTTTCTCCATTGGGTCATAGAAGCCAGTTCTGAAAAGTCAGAAAATTGAAAATTTTAAAATGAGCTGGTGATCACGACTATTGCACAGTTAAACCACACACATATAGTCATTTAAAGAAGCATAAAAGTTTGAGCTTATTATTTCTAACTAATCAACATATGAATAAATAATTTAAGTTAACAAGTTCAGTATAGCAAAAATAAAACCTCTTACAGAAGGAAATAGAGCATATGATATCTAATTAATGAAAATAAGTGTGGAATATATATAAAGTAATTTTAAAGCCAATTTACAATATTAATCTACGTAAATGTGTTTTTTATTGCTACAAAATAACTGAGTAGCCCAATCACTGTTAACCAGGAGAACAATTAAAAGATTTTGTAAATTACTGGCAAAATGAAAACTTAGACTTCTTAGTAGCAAGAAGTCAGATATTTAGCAGACTTCCAATGTACAGAAACATGCGTTTCTGACCACAGAACTGGTCGACAGAGTTTTATCGAAAAAAGATACTCATTCTGGTAATACTTATTCAGTGAGTAATATGACCAACATTAATGAGTACTAAATTCGAATTCCATGTCATACAGCTCAGATCCAACGATTGTTCGCATAAAATGAAAAACTGTTAGGTTTTCAACCTTACTACACATGATACAAAATATTATGGTGATCCCTATAGTACAAGTATTCATACTTACACCTCCAAACCCAGTTTGAGGCATTAAACATTCTAGTCTCTGATTGGCTTTTATATAAAAGAACTAAATGTAATGCACCAGCCTCAAAATGTTAAAGTTTTAACATCCTATAATAGGTAAGGAACGAAATAAATTCACAAATACGGTAATGTGAAACTGTTCCAAGTAATTAACGAACATCTATACTGTGAGTACGCCTTTATAACACAAAGTCAAGCATCAATGTCTTCAAAATTACCAAGTCCGAGACAGCTACAAAAACTCTTATTATATTTGGGTTTGTAAGCAACTTAATGGTAAACAAGACCGATATGTAAGTCCTAGACAGCCAAAAAGACATTGATTATGACCTAATAACATCAAAGAATAGGATAAATATCGAATTAAAAAGTTCAGTTATCATGGAATACCAGGGGATTTATAAAATCGTAAGCTGAACATGGGCGACTAAACTGGAGTTCAACGAAAACCTTACACGAACTTTACGAGGTAAATATATATCAAACAGTTCGTCACCTTATGATCGAGGACAATGTGTTCACATTTAGCGTACACTTGGAGCAAACTATTCAGATCTATTTTTTACGAGCTAGTAGATACCAACTGATATTTTTGAGCTTTTACTGTGCCATTTGAGAGTGATTACACGTTTTGCCCATCGAAATTCAAGGCAATGTTTACCAAATAGAGGCTGAGAATTTTTTTATCTATTGAAACTTGAATTTTCTATGGATTTAGGAAACTACAGCATTAATGTTGTCCTCAGTTAGCATTGTGGTGGACCAAAACGTATGATAACCAAAAATTAGCAACAAAATATTACGTCTAGAGTTTATATAACAGTTAACAGTTAATAAGTTAATTACACGCAGATAAAAGTGAGGGACGTTACTTAATTCTTCAGGCTATTGCGTGTTCGGCTGAATTTGGTCCAGATATTCCACAATTAAAAATTAGTAATCCCAAAATGGACGATATTGATCCAGTAGGTTTACCAAGCGTAGAATTCAATAAGAATGTCACAATCGTCTATAAATATAGATGGTATGCAATGAATATTCCATTTAACATATTAGAAGACATGGCAGAACGATGCAGATGTGAATTAGAGTGTATTTATTGAGGAGCAGTATCAATGTCGCGATATGTTGTACTCAAAACGGAAGAAAGTCAAATTGCAAGTGTTTAAAGTAATACACTTAAACAACAAGTACAATTGTTTAATGCTAAATGTACAGAATATGAAAATACACAAAATACACGCAAAAACTATGAAAAATTATTTACAAAATAGGTTTTATGGTCCTATTTCCACATAGCTCCCCCCAGAGTGTCCGGAGGTAACTCTGATTACAATATGAACAACAAAAATTGAGAAATATTGTATATAAATGTACATAAAATAATATTTACTGTAATAGCGGAAAAAAAGGTGGAGATAGGAATAAATGGCAAGTTAATAATATAAGCTATGCTACGCAAAATGAAACTGAAAAACAGACATTACGAAGTTTTGGTTTGCTAATTATAATAAAATGTGCAAAACTGTTAATAAACTCATAAATTAAAAAAAATTGGATTTTTCATTGTTTTGTGTACAGTTTAATGAATAGTTAGTTAGCGTTTACTCGTTTATTACTATGACAATTTTTCTTATTAAAAAAAATTGGCAAAACTAGTGACAAAAAATAAATGTGATTATTAAATGTAAATGTAAGGAAAATAAGTAGCTGTTATTAGAAGATTGAGTAATTTCACCATGTAATGCATATAATTGGATGTTTTTGATTGTGTTAGTCAGTAAAATGTACATTATTTTTGGGTTTTTAACAGATCTACCAGAGCTGGTTAAACAAGGTTCAAGGTTAGATTCATCCTCCTGCTCTGGCTTTTCGACAGAAGATGGAAGTGGTTGTTTATCGGCAGCGCTGTTTTCTTGATCTTTGATAAGTTCGTATAATGCAGGTTTAATTCAATCTATAAAAATAGTCTCCCTGTTGCCATTTCTATTAATGACGAAGTGTTTCGATGTACGTTTAATCACTTTGTATGGGCCTTCATAAGGTTGCTTCGAAGGTTTTTTTTACTGCATCTATTCGGACAAAAACAAATTTGACTCTGAACGACCGTTTCGTTCGAGCATGGAATTCCTTAGGTGTGAGCATTCACAATCCTTCAAGTAGGATTCGAACCGAAAACCTGCTACTTTAGCAATGGTTTTTGCTTAGAAAACTCAGTTTGTGGCAAAACTAATAGGAATATAATTTGTCTCCACGAAAAATGTGACGACACACCATCGAAGAACACAACGATTCTTTTTCAATGCATTAGCGACCGCGATCATCTGCTGTGCTGAACTAGAGGCATACAAGTGGGAAAAAATTAGGTTCCAATTATGTAAATCTGCACTCGATATCTGTGATCAGTCATGGAAAACTATTTGTTTGTACTGAAAAACAATGAATCAACTTTTTCCATTGTGTTATTCGTCATTTTGTATCTTTAGAATGTTATGTATTGCATTATTGCATTAGCATTCTATGAATCTCATTAGCAAACAGGGCCAGTTTGTCTACCTAATTAGAGAACCCAAATGTAGCCAGACTGATGACAATGAGCATTTTCGAAAACATCTTGAAATCTTGTAAACTGTTTTGTCAGAAGTGAAACTAAATGAACGAGTAGAACAGGTATTTGCGATTAATCTGTTTTTGCATCAGAATTGATATTAACTTGTGATGAAAGTCATAATAATTACTAAGGAGGTTCATTTTCACGGTGCAACTGTTTATAGGGTTTTAAACAATTTTCCCACTGACTACAAAGTAGCTTGAGGCCGTACCTATACTTTAAATCAACCACTATTGCCGCAGCATTGTACAGTAATATCAACCTACAAGAAATGTATACAAATATTGATAAATCAACGGAAAACCAATTACATCTCACCGTTGCTAGCGTCAATAGCTTCAAATAAATGCCTTGAGGTTAATGAGACATTGGAGAGTACAAACAAGTTCAATTTCAATTAACCATTACGGAATATCTTTGGTCTTAAAGTGACGCTAAAAAGATTCATTCATTCGCTAATTTCCAGTTCTTTTTTTCATGATGATAGTTAATTAGAGGATCAAATATTGGTGGGTGATAGAATTACTTGAACCACCTGCTCTTGGTACATCAAGAATTACTTATTTATACACATAATAAGAGAACTGGTGGGAGCATTTTAGAAAATATGGTGGGCCTAAAGGATGATGAAGAAAGAAAGAAATCTTTTCTTAAGAAGAAACCAATAACGGTTTATGACCCTTAAACTTTTCAACCATGGTAGCGTATACTATGGATAAATCCATTATTGCCTTGTGTGGGGTTTTTCATTTCTGGAATAGATACCTTATATACTGAGGCAGCATAAAGTACAGAGTGAGTGGAGCTGGAAAAGAGATGAATAAAAGAAAACTTGTTGATAACCAAGCGAGCGCACACAACACACATTTATCAAAGAGAGCAGTAAACCACGATCACCAAATGAATACACTCGAAATCGAAACTACAGGGGAATAGTTAAACTTCATACTCCTAGTCTTTATATACACAATTTAACGAACTAGAAGGGGAAGATTTCATATATGTGCTTTGACAGATGAAAAGACGAAGCGAAATGAATTCTCAGTATGTTTTTGTGTCCTGAATATGGTGTGATCACTATAGCGAATTACTATGGTTAAATGGGTCTGTGAGATGATTTACAACTAAGTGATATCAGTTGACCTGTAGTTTCTCCCTCAATACCAGTACCACTCATAATATATATCTTATTTTCTTCAATGGACTCACAGCTTGCTTTAGGGTACTCAATCTCACCAGTGTCCCATTTTTGGCACCGAACTGTTTATATTCACTGCTATGATTCCAGCAAATGTTTCGCCTGGTGTTGATATTTCGTGATTGGATTTCACGGTTTGCGAGAGTAACCGACCAAAGTAGGATGATGTTTGGTAATATTATTATGAATCAGACTATTGTAATTAACACCGTTAACAAACCTGTTGACAAACTTGAGTGCACGAATGACTGAAACTTACTGTGATCTCTTAACAAAACAAAACCTTATGTCATGTTTCTTTCATTTGTCCTTATCTAGAAAGCTGGAATTGTTAACCGCACTGTAAATCTTTCTGTATTTGGACGTGAATA